GCCCTGCAGCCTGTGCTGCAGCAGCCGGCCACCGGAGGGGGCGAACAAACATCAACCTGTTGTTTGTCCCGTCACCATTTATCAACTCTCAGCACCACAAGGAAGTGCGGCACCCACACGCGCTCCGAAAGTTCAGCATGCAGGAAGTTTGGGGAGAGCTCGGCGACTAGCACAGCGGCCGGGCCAGCGCTGAGCGAGCCGGCGGGCCAGAGCGCAGGGCGGCGCGGCGTCGGTCCCGGGAGCGGAACCCGGCTTTTTCTTGGAGCGACGCTGTCCCTAGGTCGCGAATCCCAAATGCACCGGCTCGTCTTCGTCTACACGCTAGTCTGCGCAAACTTTTGCAGCTATCGGGGCACTTCTGCAACTCCGCAGAGCGCATCCATCAAAGCTTTGCGCCACGCCAACCTCAGGCGAGATGGTAAGACTCGGATTTTATGTTTTTACTTAAAAAGATCACGTTTGTGGTTTTAATTGTTCTGTCTGCGCCACCCCTACCCCCTACTTGAGTCTTGACTGTGAACCCGAGCTGAAAGCATTGTTGCGACGGGGTGGGGAGAGCGGTCTCTTGCCTGTACCCAGTCCTGACGACCCCGTCCTCTGGAAGGGGAATGAGGTATGTGGGACTCCTGCAGGGGAGTATGGGATGGGTCAGGTGGCTTATCTCTCTGCTGCTAGCGCTAGAGAAGTCACTTGATTTCCAGTGCTCTCTGACACCAAGATGCCATGCCTCATCTCGGAGTTGGAGAAAGTTGGCTGCGCCGCCTCTCGGTCAAGCTCTTAACCTTTTGGACTTGAAACTCAAGGACCGGGCATTTAATAGGTGGAAGAAATCAAGAGTGGCGTTCTCTGGGAGGTTTATTTTAATGTAATTTAATTAATGGGACAAGAATGATGTTTTTCAGTCCCGCAGTTGTATCAGGAACATAGCGACAATTTATATAGCATTTATTTTAGGAGAAGGGAGTGTGCAGCCTTTACTGCCATTTCTGTCCCCTAACTTACTTTCTGGTCAAAGTTCAGCATGGCGCAGAAAGTCTGAGATCAGGGCTCCTGGGGTTTCGTCTGTTTCACAGGGAAACCAGGCTTCTGCTGCTAAATTTCCTTCACAGAACGTTTTCCAATTGTTCGCTAGGAGCAAAGCTCCTGGAACAGCCCTCCTAAGCCAGGTCCCAGGCAGGCTTGTTTGTTTTCCTTTACTGTAGAGGACACCTGGGTCATTGGGTCCCACAGACTTTAAGTTGAGTTTATTTACTTTCTGGGGCCTCCACTGCGCTCTGAAGTTGATTTATTTTTCAATTCCCAACTGCAACAGAAGTTCCCAGCGATTTGCAGCTGTCTCTGCTATGCACCTGAATGACCCGAAGGTTTTTGTTTTTTTCTGCATCGCTATCTTCCTCTCCCACTTGCTTAAAGCCCTAACATATCCCACAAGGAGACCGCTAAACTATTCTCAATGGCTTCCTGCT